GGGGGGGTGTGGGGCAGGGCACTGTGGAACCAGAAAGAGCCGGTCCATAGCAGGAGAGGGATCATGCCACATCAACCCTGGAACTCTCATCTCCAGAGCCGTGAGAGTGAGGACCGCTCCCTCCCCTCCCCTGGGCCTGCTAGTCCCAACCTTGGCTACCACCACAGGAGATGGTAGCCAGGTTAAACTTCCCTCTCCTTGGCTACCACCGCAGGAGATCGCAGCCAGGTTAAACTTCCCTCTCCTTATAAGGTCCTGTCCAGCAAGCACCTGGAATTCCTCTTCGTGCAAATAAGACATGCCAGCACCTTCGCCCCTGCCAAGGATGTGCACTCACCCTGACAGCCTCTGCCAGCTCCCCAAAGATTTCAATAGCTGTTGTCCCCTCACCCCTCTATCCCCCATTTAAACAAGCTGCTCGGTGAAGCTGCCTCCAAATACCTGCTCTCTTTGCTCACCCACCGCCTGAGGCCTCCAGCACCCCACCACCCTACGTTTTTGCTTCAGTCTCCCTCTCAGCCATCAGTGGTGAGGGCTGGTGATCATGCCTTTATGGGTAGGGGGATGGAGTGGAGAGGACAGAGATTTCTAGGTGTGCTGTCACGTTGCTGGCATAAGATCCCTCTGATTTCTTTCTGAGTGCTGTGAACTTGCCGCTCAGAACAACCTTCATTGTCCTGTAAATTCGGATATGTTGTGTTTCTTTTTCATTCAGTTCTAAAAAGTCGCACATTTCTTTCCTGGTTTCATTCTTTTTATTCGGTAGTGAGTTGTTCGGTTTGACTGAGTAAGCCGTCTCTTGTTCTGATGTGGATATCCAGCTTTAATCTGTGGTGGTCAGATAGAATGCAGGGTGTTAGTTCAACTTTCTTGCATCTTTTGAGACTTGATTTGTGTCCAAGTATGTTGTTAGTTTTAGAGAAAGTTTCATGAGGTGCTGAGAAAAAGGTATATTGTGTTTGGTTGCAATTTCTGTAAATATCCGTTAGGTCCATTTGGTTTGTAGAATCAGCTCCAGCATTTCTCTGTTTAGTTTTGTCTGGATGGCCTGTCTGTTGTGAGAATGGGGTACTGAAGTCTCCCACTATCGATGTGAGGATCAATGTGTTATTGAAGCTTTAGTAGTATTTCTTTATGAATTTGGGTGCCCTTGTGTTTGGTGCATAGATGTTAAGAATTACAATGTCCTCATGGTGGATGTTTTTCTTTGATGAGTATGTAGTGTCCTTTCCTATCTTGGATTAGTGTTGGTTTGAAATCATTTTGACAGATATTAAAATAGTTTCTTAGGTCCATTTGCTTGGAATATCTTTTTCCATCCTTTTACCCTGATGTAATGTCTACCCTTGGTGCTTAGGGTGTGTTTCTTGGATGCAGCAGAAGGGATGGATCCTGTTTTCACATGCATTCTGTTAGTGTGTGTCTTTTTGTTAGGGAATTGAGTCCATTAATGTTAAGAGATGTTGGTGAACAGGGTTTATTAATTCCTGTTATTTTGGTAGTGGTGGTGGACTTGTAGATAAATATTGCTTAAATTTGATTTTATCATGGACTCTCTTATTTTCTCCATCTATGATAATTGACATTTTTTGCTGGGTATAGTAGTCTGGGCTCAAATCTGCAGTTTCTTAGAGTCTGCAGCATACCTGCCCAGGCCTTTCTGGGTTTTAGTCTCCACTGAGAAGTCAGGAGAAATGCTAATAGGTCTGCCTTTATATGTTTCTTGGTCCTTTTCCCTTTCAACTTTTAAATATTCTCTCTTTTTCTGTATTGATTTAGTGTACTAAATTTAGTGTACTTTTAGTGTATTGATTGTTATGTACCAAAGGGACTTTCTTTTCTGGTATAGAAGTATTTGGTGTTCTGTAGGCTTCTTGTACTTTGATAGACATCTCCTTCTTTAGGTTAGGGAATTTTATTTTTTATGATTTTGTTGAAAATATTTTCTGTACCTTTGACATGGCTTTCTTTTCCTTCCTCTGTTATTCTTAGATTTGGTCTTTTCATAGTGTTCCAGATTTCCTGGATGTTTTGTACCATGAGATTTTTTAGATTTAATATTTTCTCTGACCATAATACCCTTTTTTTTCTATAGGATCTTCAGTGCCTGAGATTCTCCTCCATCTCTTGTATTCTGTGGGTGAGGCTTGACCCTAAGGTTTCTGCTCAGCTCCTAAATGTTTTATTTCCAGATTTCCCTCAGTCTGGGTTTTCTTTATTGATTCTATCTCTACTTGCAGGTCTTGAACTGTTTTGTTCAGAATTTCCTTCCATTGTTTGTTTTCATTGGCCTCTTTAAGGGATTTATTCATTTCTTCGTTAAGGACCTCTGTTATATTCATAAAGGCTATTTTAAGGTCTTTGTCTTGTGCGTCAGCTGTACTGCAGTATTTGGGGTCTGCTGTAGTAGGGTTGTGGGCTCCAGTGGAGACATACTGGATTGTGTTTTTGCACTAGTGTCTAGGCCTCTGGGCTCGAGAAGATTGTAATCCTGGGTGCTGATACATGGTCCTGTCTTTGTTGTGGGGGTGTTTTGCTCCTTGGTTTCTGTTGCCTCCTCTGGGTCTTAGAGGAGCGTGGAGAGTTCTTTGCCTCGCAGGAACTTATTCCTGGATCCTGATAGGTGTGGCCACCATTTCCCTAGCCAGAGTGTTACTGTTGCATGTTTTAAGTGACTCACCAAGGCAATAGCAGTTCTGGAGAAACTGGTGACACTTGGAGTGCTCAGCAACATTGGAGATCACTCATGAATTTTCTGGGTGAGATCCCGATTCTGAAGATGTCACTAACTTCACCACCAGACTTGGATTTTGTCACAACGGCATAACCTTTAATCAGTCTTCCGCAGAATTCTATGATCTTCACAGCATCCAAAAATCCTGAGAAATCAGTCCCAGCACATTTCATGTGCTCATATTTGTTTTGTGTGTAAAATGGCCTTCAGAAACAGAGAAATGACAGGGAACATACATCATTGAGAACCTTAGTCTGGGTCATACAAGAAAACACAGTAGAATAAAATTGTAACGTTACATAAACCAGTGCTATGCAGTGAAGAACAACTTTTATGGGATTGATGCTTCAATTAAATTTTGCTCAATATTTGGCACATTTTCACTGCGAAGAGTCACGAGGATAAATACGTGAGGGTCTTCCTACTATGTTTTCCTTTCATGTATTGCCTTGGTTCTAAGCAATTATTTAGCTGGTCTTCTCAACCTGTTAGTGAATTAACAGTAAAAATAAGTAACTTTTAGGTTTTTTATTAAACTGGAAATCCACATAGAGATCTAATTTTACAAATAAATGTTCACCAAGGGGAAGAAAACATGAGAAGTAAAGGGGAAGGGAGGAGAAAGAATCAGCAGAGGAATGTCACCAGATGATACAATAAAAGTCAACATGAATCCCACATAGAGATGCTCTTATGGATCACGTTCTTAAGAGTGTGAAAGGGTCCCTGAGGCCAAAAGTGTTGAGACCCACCGTACAGTCTTGACTGCCAGCTGCTCGCAGGCACCACAGCATGGTGATGTGGACTCTTCTTCCCTCTGCTTCTCATCTGGGGAGGGTATACGGCAACCCTTTAAACCTTCCTACAACTGTAATCTGGCTGAGACATTTATGCCACTATCTCCCCAGGACCTTGGAAGCCATTGTCTTCTGAGTTCATTTGAAAAGACAAATTTGACCTAATGCCATTAAATATTCTTCTGGCTTAAATGATATGAACGCTGTTCCTTTAAAAAATTTTAAACACTCAAACACA